AAGAATAAATTAACGAATCTCGTTTTAATATTTCGATCTAAACATTTTAGACTTTTATATTAAATTATTATTGGCTTTTTGTTTGTTTGTATCCGTCCCTGTTCCCATTATCTGGGGTCAGGTCTCCTCACTCTACGGCGCTAGGTTGATCTGTCCTGGGTTGTCGGTTTTACCAATTGGCCTTTCTTAAGGTATCTTTCGATGTTTGACCACCAGGTCTATGGCGGGCGGCCTCTACCTTTCTTTTGTTCTGGCAAGCCCAATGCGGCCTTCGCCACATGATCTTCGTCCCGTCTCACGATAATATCATGGATAATTATGACCATACCATCTAAGGAGATTTTAAAATTATTATTGATTTTAATTTCTGAAAAATATAGCATCTAATAAACATGCTGCCAATTATTTTACATAGCTTAAATTAGATTTTCGGGAACTTCACGGGTTCAGAAAATGATTCAAGAATACGGTGACGGGATCTTATAATAACAAACACAAGTAGAGAACAAATAACTCAAAAGATGTCCGCACTCCAACCGCTATAAATTAACGGTCTAATAACTATCTATATAGTTATTAACTATCCATATTACAGTTATTAACTAGACGACCTAGTCGATCTAATCTCACAATGGACTAAATTTCATTAACATGCAAAGGTTCCTTACTCTAGAACAGTGATTCTCAACCACTGTTCCGCGGCACTTTTGTGTGCCGCCTAATTTCAAAAGTGTGCCGCCAAATTTTGCGAATATATAATAATGTTAATACTATTAAATTATATCATTTTAAAAGAAAAATATTTGAAACATGAATATATATATTTAAATCCACAAAAAACAAAAATTATAGTATATTTTAGTTTATTTCGTATATTAAAATTTTTTGATAAACTATTTATGCAGTGTGTTGTAGTAAGTAAATAATTTTTATCTTTTTTTTTTGTGTGCCGCCAAATTTTGAAATCGTTAAATATGTGCCGCAACAAAAAAAAAGGTTGAGAATCACTGCGTCTAGAAACTGGCATTACAGTGTGTTTCTTGCGTACAATGCGCTGAAAAGTGTATGGATACAGCGCTTCAATAATGTTAACTATTAAACAATAGTTATGTAAAAAATCTGTAGTTTCAGCAACTGCTTCTGAAACATCGCTCCACGGTGTTTCTTTTGTAATATATATGATATTGTTATATTACCAACAGTGACCACTATCATCAGGTGGTGGCAACCACTATTTCTGCCGTGAAGCAGTAATGCGTTTCGGTTTAAAGGGTGGGGCAGCCGTTGTGACTCTACTGAGACCTTAGAACTATATCTCAAGGTGTGTGGTGCATTTACGTTGTAGATGTCTATGGGCTATACTTAACACTAGGTGGGCTGTGAGCTCGTCCACACATCTAAGCAATAAAAAAAAAAAAGGTGAGTCGTATGCTATATTCAAATATGCTTAAGAATATCGTAAACATGAACAGATCACAATTCCATTATAATACTTTTAAATTCAAAACACCACCACCACATTCCACCATTCTTCACACCACACCATTATTTTAAACCACGTCCAGCAATTGCCAACCGCAATGGCCCAACGTGTTGTGCCGTGCTTGGCAAACATAAGCCAACGTTCGTTTATTGTTCAACAAAAACAAAGTTATAGTGATGTTTGACCTATTTTTACCATTCCAAAGTGGTCCGTAGTCCATTTGCTGAAGCTCAACTTTTTTAATATACACTTTGCCTATTCAAAAACTAGTTCTCGGCCGGAATTAAAATTGTTGGCTTATTTGATTTGAAACTGAAAGAGAAATAATTGATAAGGCAAATGTAATTATGAAGTATGGCCTTTGAAAACTTCATAAAAACAAAGTTGAGTTTCGGGTACTATTCGTGAAAGGAACCTAGTTTTAGTCATTGGATAGATTGATGTCATTATAGTTATATATCATGGTAATACATGGGCACTGAAAATTTCGGGAATTAACGAAGTGACACAACATTACTATTTAAAAATGTATTTATTGCTTTTCGAAGTATTCTCCGCGAAATTTGACACATTTTTCCATACGATGGAACCAATCATTGAAGCAACCATTCCATTCGGAAGTTGGGGTCTCCAAAATGGCCGTTTTGTAGGCGTCCACAGCTTCTTCAGGTGATGAAAATCTCTGTCCACGCAATTTATTCTTTATTTTAGGGAAAGTATAGAAATCATTAGGGCTTAGGTCGGGGCTGTACGGCGGATGGTCTAATAATTCTATGTTTTCTTGCTCTAAAAACTCTTTTGTTCTGTGCGCGGTGTGAGAACTCGCATTGTCGTGATGGAGGATGATGCGGCGGTTGCAGTTCTCTTTACGGAGTTCAGAAACGACCTGTGGCAAACAAATGCTAGCATACCATTCTGCATTAACCGTTCTTTGTCCCTCAAGAGGAATAGTCGTAACATGGCCGGTTTTGGAGACAAACGTGGCCACCATTTTTTTTGCAACACTCCGTGAACGAACAATTTTTGTTGGCTTTAACTCATTTTCGAACACCCAAACTCGTGACTGGTTTTTTGTTTCGGGTTCGTACGCGTATATCCAGGATTCGTCACCTGATACAATGTTGTATACAGCATTTGAGGATCCTGCGTGGAATCTTTCGAGAGTTCTGACGCACCAAGTAACGCGAGCCGCTTTTTGCTCTTCACAGAGCGAATGCGGTATCCATCGGGAAAACAACTTTTTTACACCTAATTGTTCATGCAAGATTATTTGTATTTGACTCATGCCAATGTCTAAAGTTGCCTGAATTTCGCGGTATGTCACATGTCGATCTTCCTCAATCAGCTTACGCACAGCATCAACGTTTTCTTGGGTGACTGCAGTTTTTGGACGACCTTGACGGGGATCATCACTGAGCTTGACACGTCCACGTTGAAACTCAGCAAACCAGCGATAAATTGTGGTTTTGGATGGGGCTTCATCACCAAATGCAGAAATCATCCGGTCAACACACTGTTTTTGTGTTAAACCACTTCGAAAGTCATAATAAATCATCGCTCTTGAATTTTCTCGAGTCAATTCCATTTTCTCAACGACTAAACAAGTTTGACAAAACCTCGTGACAAGACCGAGAATCTTTTTTTAAATAAATAAATGGTATTCGATTTTTAAAACCAAGGAGTTTTCAATTAAAAAGATTTTAATATGACAGGAACAGTGGAAATATTCCATTCCCGATACTTTTCTCGTAATAAAACGACGTGCATCAACGAAAAACACACAATCATTGTCGGTCCCGTAAAATTGTACTAGCTTTGATCTGATTTAATAAACCAGCTTTAAACACAGTCCACTTTTATTTGAATAAGCTTTGCACCTAGCATCTCATCGCAACGGCGCCAAAAATTCCAAACATAAAATTACAAAAAATAAAACAAACATTAAAAGAAAAATAACGAGGCTCGGAAAGGGTTACCGGCTCAGTAATGCCTAACAGTACCGAGACAATCGGTACTGAGGCGCTGATCTTCCATCGGCACACCAGCATCAAACCGACCAATCACTATCTGAGCTTGGAATAATAACAAAAGTTTTCAACTTACTACTATTACTATCGCTTACAGATGTCAACACACAACATTACCATAAATAACACACATAAATTAGTTATAGTTAAGCAACTCAAGCACTCAACAAAAATGTTTACGGGCGTCCGCCACTAGATGGCTTCGCTTCGATTACTTTCTCATTGCTCCTGTAGATGGCAGTAACATATTACCTATCCTATATTTTAATTTTAATTTCCAATTGGGAATATGTCTCAAACCTCAAGCTTCAATGGGCTCCGATAAATTTAAGGCAAGGCGGGCACTGATCTTGCTAGCTCGTCTATGCGATGAATAAAAATTAATCCATTGGTTTAAATGTTGACGACCTTTATAATAATTCATTCAAATAACTAGATCATTTTGTATGCAATCTATCGACATACGATAAAATCTTTTTGGGTTACCCTGAATGAGGCTTTAGCTATCTGGATCAGTTCCATAGTAAAGTCACTGAGCTAATTATATTGCCAATTAAATTGGCTGTTATTTATGATCTTATTAAGGGCATAATAATTTTATGAATCATTTTAGGAATCGGCTTTTTAATGCAGCATCGAAAGCATTTGAAAGATGAAACCAAATATGCTTCTGTACCGCTAATGCTCAATAGCTCGAAAGATCTTTTATGCTACGTCAAAATCGGTACCTCACTAAGCACAGTTTCTTCTTCTAATCCTGGCAGTGGCTCAGAAGCTTATATTAAAAAGTGTGCCATGTTACTCTTTATCTGGCGGGAAGTATGGCACATCTGGGTCTGCTGAGAAACATTGGTTCTCCGTTTATTTTGTACCTACGTTTCTTGCGAAGTGGCATTTGATCTCGTCATGTACTAGCCCTTGCTGTTGGAACAAAGCTCGTCCTTACTACCTGAAGCGCGGCATTGATAGACAGTGCGTTTTTAAAGAATATATGCATCGGATATAGTTGTGCCATTTGCATAACTGTTGTCGTCAATCAGAGGACCCGCTCCGGTGGTAGATTCTGCGAAGAACTGCTCTTGCTAGGGCCAGTGTTAGCAACACTCCGGTTTGAGCCCCGTGAGTTCACATGTTAGGGCGAAGCTGAAATAGCCTCTCAAGACTATCAGCATAGGTAGGGAAAAATAAAGAGGACCCGTCGACTCATTTACTTTCATTTGCAATGTGCTAAATATTTTAAAAGTATGTTTACAGGACAGTATTGTCGTTGGCGAAGTTCCTTAGATTCTCGTTCAAATGTTAACTTTTTTGCGCTCGGATCAATCAGACGAAGGATCTAAAGGGATATTTATGGTTAATTTTAAACAAAAGAGCTTGGTTCTTATGTAATCTTTATCTATTATCCTCTCGCGGAAGATTGAAGTGATAAAGAGAAGAGATAGAGATAGAATTGTTGTAAATAAATAAATAATATACTTCATTGTCCCCAGGTAAAGTAGATGAAAAGGCAACGCAGCTCCATGCGATCGCGTCACTCAAGGTACTGCTGGAAGCAACGAGGCCGACAGCGGGTGGAGCCGGTGCAGCTGCTGCGAAGCACACAGCTGCAGCAGCAACCCAGGGTCAGCAGGCGAAGGAGACGCCTCTAGACCTGCCGAACGGTGGCCTTGCTGGAGACGTCCAATTAGATGCTATAGAAGAGGTAAGCTTCAAAACAGCCAACTATTTAACTAACGCCTAACTAATAGTACGAAGGTTTAGTTATTGAAGGCAAGTCAAACCTGCAAAATTAAATTGATCTAATTACTGATGGTAGTGATAGTAATATTAATATTGAAAGACCCAATGAATAACCTTCTTAACGCATGACAGATTAGACCTGAGTCTATCTTATATTTATTAGACGTGGGTTCAAATTATACCGTCCTGATGTTTTTGTAGAATTGGACCCGAAAAACATCAATTTGTCGAAGTATTAACTTCGATACTTAGAAATCTTGGTACTAGTTGGACTGTGAAATAGACTACATGTTCTTTTATTGTTTTTGTTAATACTATTAAAATGAATACCTATGTAATAATTACGGAGTCCACAAAATATCAATAAATAAAGATACCAGATACCAATAAAGTATATGGTTAGTATAGTTCAAACAGTGTCCTATTCAATAGCAGCATGTTGAAGCCCGACAGCACAGAAAAAGGTCAAAATAAAAAGTGTTACTTGTGTTCTGAGGGGAAAAAACAGGGTCATTAGTCACAGAATAGTAGTGCGACCTTTAACCGAAACGTGGCCTGGACTGCCATTGTTCGGTGGCCAGACTCCTGATTGATGACTAACCTCAGAACAAAGATCGCGATAATCTTAGCCTGACGAAAAAACATTCAAATGAAAGCTAGCAAGCTTCTAATCTGATTGATTGTTTCATTATTCCACGGTGTTCTAGAATAACAATTACTATTGTTTTTTTTTTCCGTTTCATATCGTTTTTATATTGTAGTAAGATATTGTGCTTCCCTGTAGGCAAGGTTCTCGTCTCGAAGTCGTACAGTATTGACGATGTACTCGTACAGCGCGACACGATGTGTTCTCTAAGAATGTTGATTGATGCTGTCGGCTCCTACAAAGTCCCCGCGTTTGGAGGGCGCGCGTGGTATGCGCAACTTGACAATCTGCAGATGTTGGGAGCATATCGCGGGCCCAAGGATATTTTAGAGCCCTACCGCACTAAGCGACTCCATGCACTCTTACACCTGACGTACAATATCAGCCCGGGGTCAGAACTCGGTCAGAGTAAGAGGCTTCCCGCGGTCAACACTATAACTAGACTCGCGGCGCCACCTCTAGGACGCCCGGGCGATGCCGCTGGTGTTCCCGGATACCCCGCTGGGTCAGAACCAGCCTGCCGGATCGGAACGCGACACACCGCTGACCGGGCTTTTTAAAATTGACGGATAGTCGCCGGCATTTTCGTTTACAGACTGACTGATATATTTACGAATGCGCACGTTAAGCCGATATTTTGCCGTCGGTTACGCGTATACATAAGCATACCGAATTTTTCTCTTTAACCTCCATTGCGTCATACATCTGACTATATCTATTACTGATCACAATGTGAATTTTCAACAGAACACAATGGAGCAAAAACTTCGTGTTAAAACATAGTAAATAAAAATTATAAGCACCGGATCGGACCTGCTACTACGCATTCTCTTTAAGATTATATTTTCGTTACAAAAAAAACAGTTACATAATATCCCTTGCATATCAAATAACAGCGTCGAGAAAGAATCCAATTTCGCTTCGACATCTGAACGTTGTGATGTGTCGTCTGTATCATTTCCTTTACATTTCCCGTATTAGGCATCGTTCATACGAATAACGATGCCTATTTCGGTATACATCGCTCCTGACGATCAGTTTCCTGCGAAATTCGCCCTCCTTTCTCGTCATCAACGCGCTGACGCAGCGTTATAGTTTCCGTAATCATTTCTTTTTTCCGATAGTCTTTTAAATATCGATGAGACGTTATTCAGTGGCTGCCCCACCCTTCGAACCGAAACTGCTTCACGGCAGAAATAGGCAGGGCGGTGGTACCTACCCGTACGGACTAACAACATGTCTTACCACCAGTAATTACGCAAATTATAATTTTGCATAGTTGTTTTTTATTACACGATGTTATTCCTTCACCGTGGAAGTCAATCGTAAACATCTGATAAGTACGAAAATTAGATATTTTTAATTTTATGTTCTTAAATTCGCGAAGACTTTATCTTCATTTACCTTGTATATGCATTCGAGATTCGAATATCGGCACAGACGCAACGCATATTCTTAAGTCCTTCGAGCGTTTTTAAGCATCAGAAACCGAAATACCAAGATCCTTATTGGTAGTAGATCGTTTTGTGAGCCCGCACAACTAGGTACCATCCACTCTACCTATTTCTGCCGTGAAACAGTAATGAATTTCGATTTGAAAATCTAGCCAGCCGTTGTACAATAAACTAAGGCTCAAAACTCATGTCTCAAGTGGGTGGCGGCATTTACGTTGTTGATGTCTACGGGCTCCTTTGTGGGTTGGGCCGTGAGCTCGTCCATCCATCTAAGCAATAAAAAAAAACTCACTCATCAAGATGCCTACGAATAATACGGGCACTGCTAAGACATATAAAAAGCATTCATTTCAAATAAATTTCCAAAAACCAATTTGATAAAATCAATAAAACCGAATAGCTGTTTAGTTTTTACTGATCGTTTAAGTTAAGTCTTCGTGACGAGTAAGTCGCAAAAGCTCAATGTGTGGTCCTTAAAGCCTTATTTCTCGGCTGCGGTAGAAGCATACCAATGTCACGTGATTACAAAGCTGGAAAGACTGCTGACAACATGACAGCGATTTGAATCGATGCATGTTTCTTTTTTTCTTCTTTTTATATTGCGTAGATGGGTGGACGAGCTCACAGCCCGCCTGGTGTTAAGTGGTTACTGGAGCCCATAGACATCTACAACGTAAACGCGCCTCCCATCTTGAGATATGAGTTCTAAGGTCTCAGTATAGTTACAACGGCCGCCCCACCTTTCAAACTGAAACGCATTGCTGCTTCACGGCAGAAATAGGCAGGGTGGTGGTACCTACCCGTGCGGACTCACAAGAGGTCCTACCACCAGTCGAAAATGTTCATGTTCGGAGAAACGATGGGGTTGATCGATTAAATTTTTTCATNTGCGCCTCCCATCTTGAGATATGAGTTCTAAGGTCTCAGTATAGTTACAACGGCCGCCCCACCTTTCAAACTGAAACGCATTGCTGCTTCACGGCAGAAATAGGCAGGGTGGTGGTACCTACCCGTGCGGACTCACAAGAGGTCCTACCACCAGTCGAAAATGTTCATGTTCGGAGAAACGATGGGGTTGATCGATTAAATTTTTTCATGGTTCATATTACCTATTATATACCTTTTGCTTCGAGAGGACTTCGGCCAAAAACCTTTCGTTTTTGCTGGCGTTAGGAGTTTTGTTATGCTATGCCTACTCTAGCTGTAAAGCACCGGCTTTTTTTTTCCACGGTGTTTCCCGAGCGCTATGACGCAAACGAGGCTTGTGGAGAGTATTAAGCGGTAGGCAGCGTCTTGGCTCTGCTCCTGGCATTGCTGAAGTCCATGGGCGACGGTACCCACTTACCATCAAGTGGGCCGTACGCTCGTCTGCCTACAAAGGCAATAAATATCTGCTTGTTTCAGATAGGAGACCTGGAGGAAGACACGACTCCGCTGGATATGTCGTGGCCCTCAGGGTTCCGTAAGCGGCTGACGTATGTGTTGGTCGCTCCGATTGTCTTCCCATTATGGATCACCCTCCCGGACACAAGAACTCCGAGAGGTACTAGCCATATCAGACGCAAAAACTCAATGCCCACATAACAGAAGTAAAGTTTGGTTAAAAACAAGATTGATGTCTCCTATGTACCATATAGACGCTTGAAAGGCAAACGTGACTAAGCGACAATGCGTGAACTTTACAGTAGACTAATTTAAAGTTGAAATACCTGAAAAAAATTCTATTTTAACGAATCTAGCTGTAGGATTGAAATGATTTTAATAGACCTAGAAATATATTTTTTTTTGTGCATCGAATATGGTTATTGCCTATCATTTATGTACAAAGCAGTTATTGTCGCTTAGTCACGTTTGCCTTTCAAGTGTCGATATGATATATTATAATTTTTTTATGTTTGGATGTTTATATTTTGTTCGTTGGTAGTCTATTTATAAAATGCTATTTGGTTTAAGCGACATTTTTGCAACATTACAGAAGACCCATTTATATACTCGAGAACAATGAATGCGAGTCACCTAAAGAAACCTATAAAACTTGGAAACTAATAATGCTAGCTTAATAAAATAAATGATGTTTAATAGACAATATAAAATTAAAACAAATGAATAAATATAAATGAAAGCAATAAAATTTATAAGTATAATACATTTTATTTATTAAATATTACATAAAGAAAAAAAACTGCTGCTCTCACCTTAAAACAAAAATTGGAAACATGACATTTTTGTACAACAGTATTTAAAATTTAAAATTTGGATAAAATATCATAATAAAAAAAACTACCTATTTGAATGGAATAAAATTGAAGTTCAATTATTATTAAAACATCGAATTGTTGACACTAATCCATACATCTATACATATAAATAAAATTGGAGTGTCTGTTTGTAATATTGAAATAACCGCTTCTTACTACATGCATATGAATATAAGGTATATATGGCACATACACGAAAATAACATTTTTTACAATTTTTGTCTATCTGTCTGTCTGTCTGTTTGTTCCGGCTAATCTCTGGAACGGCTGGACCGATTTTGACGAGACTTTCACTGATTAGGAGTAACTTAGGCTACTTTTTTTAGACTAGCTTCGCCCCGCGGCGTGGCCCGCGGTAGTACATTAACCGACGACAGTAAGATCGCGGGACTCATTTATCAATAATATAATTTAATGTTTCCGAAGCGAAGCGAGGGCGGGTCGCTATACCAAATAAAACAGACCTTTAGTTACAAAAATAAAGGTCACTTATTAAGCGAAAAATGTCGCTCATAATCAAATAACCTTTTTCCTTCCCTTCGACATGTATTTAAAAAAAATGTTTCCTCTTTCAGGTAAAGGTCTGTTCCCTGTAACGTTTATAGGGTCAATAGTTTGGATAGCGTTTTTCTCTTATTTAATGGTGTGGTGGGCCAACGTAGCGGGGTCGACAGCTCAGGTGCCACCGGAGGTGATGGGGCTCACGCTTCTGGCCGCGGGGACTTCGGTGCCTGATCTCATAACGTCGGTCATAGTGGCCAGAAAGGGCTTCGGGGACATGGCGGTCTCCAGTTCTGTGGGCAGCAACATCTTTGATGTCACTGTTGGGTATGTCACGATTTAAATAATCAACTTTATGCACATGAGTTTAGTGGCGATTTTACTGCTTAAAGCATTTTCTATCAGTCAACCAAGGGTGGTTTAGAGAATACTCTGGCAGATGCATTATTTTTTGCCCTACCTATTACTCCCCCTAGCTTAAGGGGCTATTCCAGATAATCCCGGACAGTGGATAAGCTCGCGGGTTCAATATAAGAGAGTTTGTTAACACTAGCCCCAGCAAAAGCAGTGCTTCGTAGAATCTACCACCAGATTTTAATAGCGACCCACTGAGAAAAGCCGCAAGAGTTAATTGCCTTATTGAAAGAAATAAATTGAATTCGATCTACATATTACGTCATACATATATGTATTTTTTTAACTATAACGTAAATTGTATGGAAATTGCCGTTTGATAAAATGCAAAAAACGAACGGATTGACTCTTAAAAATTTCCTAGTGAGTTTTTAAAAGCCTTTACCGTGAATCAATAGGACCACTGTTCCTATTGATAAGGAGCATTGTGAGAGCGCGCGGGTATGCACCAAAATCCTGTTTATTTATGCCACTAAGCAGTTCTGTGTTTCAATTCAGAGCGCAAATACTGACTATACGAGTCGGGACTTCGGTTTGCCTTTAAATAAATCACGTGATTTATGTAGTAATGATCAGCTCTCGTGGGTCACGAGTTCATCTGCTCCTCAAAAGTAATACATACGTATATGCCGGTGGTATGCCACCTTATACGTTACCACGTTACGTCTTAGCGGAAGACGTAACGTGGGACGCCCCTTGGCTAGGTGGTGCGATTACCTCCGAACGGTGGCCGGCAAGAAGTGAATGAGGAGAGCCGTAGACCGGGCTCAGTGGTGTGGACTGGGAGAGGCCTATGTCCAGCTGTGGACGACTGTGGGCTGTTGATTATGATGATGATGATGCCGTCTTATACGCTACACAACTACGTACCACCACTCTGTCTATTTATACAATGTGAGGCAGTAATGCGTTTCGGATTTAAGGATGGAGCAGCCGTTGTACTATAAAAACTGTGACTTAGAAATCGTGGTTGGAGGTGGGCCTCCGATAACCATGAAGCAAGAGATGAGCCGTGAACTAAGAATACATCTAAGCTCTAAAATAACAATATACCTATTCGTAAATGTAGCTCTCATTTCCAATAGTTACATTAATATTATTATAATTTTTTATTATTGTTACCTGGGTGGACGAGCTCACAGCCTGGTGTTAAGTGATTACTGGAGCCCATAGACATCTACAACGTAAATGCGCCACCTACCTTGAGATATGCCCTAAGGTCTCAGTATAGTTACAACGGCTGTCCCACCCTTCAAACCGAAATGCATTACTGTTTCACGACAGAAATAGGCAGGGTGGTAGTACCTACCCGTTCGGACTTAGAGGTCCTACAACTAGTAATTACGCAAATTATAACTTTGTGGGTTTGATTTTTATTACACGATGTTATTCCTTAACCGTGGAAGTCAATCGTGAACATTTGCTCAGTACGTATTTCAATAGAAAAATTTGGTACCCGCCTGCGGGATTCGAACACCGTTGCATCGCTCGATACGAATGCACGACGTCTTATCCTTTAGGCCACGACTACTTAAACAACTATTATTAAATATTCTATAATAAATTTAAAAAATTGCTAGGTATTCAATGAACTCATGACATCAAGGGGTGAAAGGCAAAAAGGCAAAGGTGAAACTTTTGTAACTTTACACTTTATAGGACAGCCATTTAAATTTTTAAATTTGAAAAAACATCATAAAAAAATTTCTTCACTTATTTGAATGGGTAAACTTAACTGAAGTTTTTTTTTTATTGCCCTTGTAGGCAGACGAGTATACGGCCCACCTGATGGTGAGTGGTTACCGTCGCCCATGGACTTCAGCAATGCCAGGGCAGAGCCAAGCCGCTGCCTACCGCTTAATACTCTCCACAAGCTTCTTTTGAAGAAGGACATGTCATAGCGCTCGGGAAACACCGTGGAGGGGAGCTCATTCCATAGCCGGATGGTGCGTGGCAAAAAAGACCTCTGGAAACGCACTGTCGATGAACGCAGCGGTTCCAGATAATATGGATGAACTTTGCTCCGATGGAGGGAGGTGCGATGATAAAAAGGAGATGAAGGGATCGTCTCAAACAATTCCTCAGAGTTCAATTAAAAACATCGAATCGTTGATACTAATACCAACTAAAACGAACATCTATACTTGTACTTGTACTTATACTTATACTTATACTTATACTTATACTTATACTTATACTTATACTTATACTTATACTTATACTTATACTTATACTTATACTTATACTTATACTTATACTTATACTTATACTTATACTTATACTTATACTTATACTTATACTTATACTTATACTTATACTTATACTTATACTTATACTTATACTTATACTTATTACTTATAATATTATAAAGAGGAAAGATTTGTTTGTTTGTTTGTTTGTTTCGAATAGGCTCCGAAACTACTGGACCGATTTGAAAAATTCTTTTTCCATTAGAAGCCGACATTGTCCCTGATGAACATAGGCTACTTTTTTTAATTTTTTTTTTATTTTTTTTTTTGGTTTCATTTGGAGTTTTAATGTTTCCGAAGCGAAGCGAGGGCGGGTCGCTAGTTCAATTATAAAGACAAATGTCGCGTATTAAGCGAAATGTCGCGTTTTAAGCGAAATGTCGCTTAATCGAAATAGCCTTTTACCCCTATGTATAAGAATTATTAGTCGAAAGATTTTAACCACGCAAATGATTTTCAAATTACGTAAAACAATATGAAATTCTAACCGTAATTTCAAATGTAAAAACGAAAAGCTGATTTGTAGTACGATAAATATTAGATTACAAGTAAATAGTTAGGTTCGATTCGTAGTACTCAAGCATAATCAGGTAATTACTACTAAAATACAATCAAGGTAAGGTCACGGGGGCGAACTGTCAGATTTCACGGGTGAAAGGTCAAGGCTACTCACCGCTGTAGGGTAAACAGTGATTTCTTGTCACCTCAACTATTACTTTGAACCACATATTAAATTGTTACGCGCTGGGGTTCGAGATAAATAAATTTTCCACCAAAGTACAACTTAAAACTGCATTTATCACTTAGGACACTCACAGAACACTTTAAAATTCTCAATTCGCTTCTTCCGCTTCGCTTCAGGTGATCCGTTCGCTGTTTCGCTTCGAGTAATTCCGATCACTAAATGACTGCGTGCCATCTCTGCAACGCTTTTATAGGCGATACGACATCCCTAGAATTATCGAGAATATTCCACAAAAGTCGAATATTGTGTGTTTCCGCTGTCTGACAATAGATGGCGTTGTGCTTCTCGAGCGTTCTAGATGTTATTAAATCCTACCTAAAATTTGGTCATTTTGTGTTAAAATAAAATAAACTAAAACGTGTGTTTGGAAAGTTAAGTAAGTGCGGCCGATCGATGCTTCCGTCATTAATATATAATATTAAGAATTGTTGAAATGTTTTCCCCTGTATCTAGCTAACGCACGTTGCTATTTAACGGAATCTTATGATTCTACTTATATTTCCGGCTTTCAACACGCCGAAATATCGGGAACTCATTAAATGAGAAAATAATAGTGAACGAATATTATAGTATACGATAGGACGTCACGATCTCCAACCACATACTTCTAACTTATAAAATTAATTGTTTATCTGTAAAGTCAGGTTCGGGACGATAGTTGTACGTGATAACATCAGTAGCAGAACTATTCGAACTGCTAGTTCTGACGTCACGCGAGAAGATAGTTAAATGTGTCACAAGCCAACGCTTGGGCCGATCGTGCCTCTCTATCGCTTGTTTGCTCTCGCTTGCACGCTCAGGCTTAAGCGGAACGTGACACTTTTTCGTGCATGCAGCCAGCCTTCATCGATTTATAAGACGTTTTCACGTCAAAAGTCTGTATACAAAGTGCACGAACATAAGGAAACAAATCCAAATCCGTATTCGTTTTCAACAAGTAAATTCGTCAACTTACAACTAAAATATTCAGGATTTAGTATCAATCTTATCGAAATGCAATCAAAATTTCAATAATTGTAAGAATAGCTGAAAAACGATTCGGAAAAACACTTATTTTTTCATCAAACAAACTACTTACTGTATTTTAATTAGGTAACAATAACGTATCCTCTTGTTTTTGATATTAAATATGACACAATTTCACATTAAGAATGCCTAGAATCTAACTTTAAATATGTTATTCTCGATCTTGTTTCTCCATACATCTTGTTTGTACAACAATAACAACATACAACTGTATTAAAAAAAAAAGAGAGATTCTCAATTCGAAACACGACTTTTTTTTAAATGAAAAATGATGAAATAAAAATACTGTGTATTGATGTACATTCAAATATGACAAAAACACAATGTTGCTTCCTTCAAATTAACTAAACTACCATTGTAGATCACGCAAAACAATATACAGGATTGAAATCAGTACGAGCGTTAACAATTTAGAGATGGCTTCTAATACGCAATTCATAATAATTCGTTCATAATGCAACGGTGTTCGAAACCCGCAGGCGGGTACCAATTTTTGTAATGAAATACGTACTCAACAAGTGTTCACGATTGACTTCCACGGTGAAGGAATAACATCGTGTAATAAAAATCAAACCCGCAAAATTATAATTAACGTAATTACTGGTGGTAAAACCTCTTGAGAGTCTGCGCGGGTAGGTACCACCACCCTGCCTATTTCCGCCGTGAAGCAGGAATGCGTTTCGGTTTGAAGGGTGGGGCAGTCGTTGTAACTATACTGAGATCTTAGAACTTATATCTCGAGGTGGGTGGCGCGTTTACGTTGTAGATGTCTATGGGCTCCAGTAACCACTTAACACCAGGTGGGCTGTGAGCTCGTCAACACACCTAAGCAATAAAAAAAAATAAAAAAAATATTCATAAAAAGTACATTAAATCAATAAAAAAAACATTACACACACTAACATGTATTTGACACACACACGCATGCATACTATTTGTTTATTGTCAAACTTTTCTTATTGCTTAGAGAGACTGTCGTCAAATTAAGAACAGATTAATTATGGTTTGTCTTTATTAATACTGGTGGTCCCGCAGTAGTCGAAATTCGACTATAATTAATTGGAATTGTACCTTTAAACATTATTATGGTTCTATTGTCAAACATATTAACTATACTTCTATAATATAATCACAGATTTCGGCAAAACTACACTATAGATAAATAACATTAAACACAAACAATGCCTATTATATATTGTATTCTCAATTTGACCACAAACTTTAAACATTAATAAAAGCTTGACAATTGACAATAAACAAAGAGTATATTTATATGTATGGGTGTGTGTCAAATATATGGTAGTGTGTGTAATGTTTTTTTTTTATTATTTGATGTATTTCTTATGCATATCTAAAAAAAATATTAGCATTCTGCACTCCTCTATATGCTCTATAAGTGTGGGAAATAACATTCTCCTCCGTCAGCGCAATTTGCGTAAAAAGGGGTACAAAGTTTTTGCTTCACGTATTAATATACTTAACTAATTCTTCGACAAATTTCGACCGTCCCCTGACAAACTTAACTTACATAATTTTATCGGATATCGCGGCTCGACCCCGGTCTTCTTATTGCTAACGGACTGCTGACATGGCGCGCCATAAAAAATAATTCTCCTGATATTTATCAGCTAAAAGACCTTGTAACGAATATCAGGTCAAACAAAATGCCAACTAACATAAAACCGTTAATGACCTTCGAGATTAATCGACTCATGAAGACGAATAGAAATTTTAGTATTGCTTACACTGCTAAACATGTTTATGGTTATGCTTTTTTTTATTGCCATCGATTGAGACTCTATGGCCCTTATGTGGGGTGTCACCGCCGCTCGTGAGCATCAGCAATGCCAAGCGGTTACCCAGAATCAGCTGCTTGTTGTTTCTAAGTCTTATTTGAAAATCTATATATACTATTCGTTAGTCTCGCTAAAACTCGACAACGGCTGGACCGATTTGGCTAATTTTGGTCTTGAATTATTTCTGGAAGTCCATAGAAGGTTTAAAAGGTAGATACATATGAAAAAGTTCGGAATTAAATAAAAATAACAATTTTGTTTTTCCTTTGATGTGTCCCCCGTCGGACGGATTCCGTTTGTTTGTTTTAAGTTTATTTTATACAAAAGTGTAGGTCTTTTATTTATCGATTGAGGCACTACGAAGTCTGCCGGGTCAGCTAGTTTGAAAATAAATATCTTTATGATACATTAGATCAGGGCTATCTACATACCTGTGAGAGCTAATTAAATTTATTACAAAAGCTGGAGGGCCACAGAAAAATATATTTTCGCAAACAAAATACTTTTCGGGAAATCCCCCAATAATAGTAAAAGATAGCTTCACTTATAAATGATGATGCCCACTGAGCTTCTCGCCGGGTTTTTCTCAGTGGGTCGCATTTCCGATCCGGTGATAGATTCTGCGAAGCACTGCCCTCGTGCTGGGGTCAGTGTTAGCAACACTCCGGCTTGAGCCCCGTGAGCCCACCTACACACGTAAGGGTGAAGCTGAAATAGCCTCAAGGCTATCAGCATATGCAGGAAGAAAAAAGTCACGGGAATGTTACAAAAATAAAGATTTATTTACACACACAAGACACAAGAGGTCCTACCACCAGTAATTACCACCAGTAATTACCACGCAAATTATAATTTTTCGGGTTTGATTTTTATTACACGATGTTATTCCTTCACCGAGGAAGTCAATCGTGAACATTTGTTGAGTACGTATTTCATTAGAAAAATTGGTACCCGCCTGAGATTCAAACACCGGTGCATCGCTCAACACGAATGCACCGGACGTCTTAGTATACCATTAAATAGTATTTTATTAAATTATTAAATGACATGTATTAGTATTTTATTAAATGATATGGATCAATGAGCTCTCAACCTAATGGGGTATTTTTTTAAATAACGGCTGTGGTACCCTTCGAACAGCCACGCATGAAACCTTTGCGGCCAATACAGGCAGGATAGTGAAACCTAGCCGTAAGCGCTCACAATACGTCTGACTCTTAATCTAACAGTTTCTCAACACTTTCCAGGCTGCCTCTCCCCTGGCTTCTGTATGGCCTGATCAACTCAGAGCCAGTCCTTGTGAACTCCAAGGGCATGGTTTGCAGCATAGTGCTGTTGTTCGCTATGCTGATCTTCGTCATTCTCAGCATAGCCTGCTTCAAATGGAAGATGAACAAGGGACTGGGATTCACCATGTTCCTGTTATATTTTGTCTTCGTTGCCGTCAGCCTTGGACTGGAGTACGACTACTTACATTGTCCGAGTTAATAATCGTTTGTCCATGAAGAGGCTCACTCAAGTGTTACACAACGTTTAAAATTGAAATTCGAAAGTGCATTTAACTTTCTGTTCGTTCATAGACTGTGGAAATAATACGTCAAAATCAAATTAAATAATGTTTCGGTATTGAATTTAATATTTGTACATGATTTCAATGTAAGACAGCTTTAATAATGAACATACTGAATGCTATTTAAACTGTAATTCACCTACGTGATAAATGTTGTAAGCTCGCATAGAATGGTCACACCTTCCTGTTTATTTCAACATTCTGTGTGCTTAGTGCGAGTTTTTCTCGATCGCGTAAAAGTTAACTCTCATTTGTATGGAGTTGGAACAGCGCCCCTAGCGGCAAACGACGGGAAGCTGTTCCAACTACATACAAGTTTGAATCAACTTTTACGTGATCGAATAGTTAAAAAACTCGTAGGTACTAAGGACACTGCTGTGAAACAGCTGTGATAAAATACTATAAGGAGTTCGGCTTTAGTGCTCAAGGTGGGTGACGGCATTCAAATTGTGATGGCTATGGACTCTCATAATCATTCAAAACCGGGAATTCGGAAGTTTGTTCACCTATTTAAAAAATGCCCAATTGGATTGGGCGGAACGAACAGGCATAGCTGTATTTCGAGACTTTATAATACGTCCTACCATTAATACCGAAAATTGAGAAAGATACTTGGCAAGGAATTAACAATTCTTTCAAAAGACCCACATCTTCTGATTAACAGCAGCAGAAGTTATTTGGTCATCAAATAAATTAAAAACAATTTACAATCTTAATTTCATAAACGTAATTTTCAAATTGTAGCACAGCACAGAAACACTCATAAAAATACAAATAAGTCTTCTTTATGATCAGAATACGAAGCTACGTTAATGTGACGTGACTGAAAGCAATTCATGACCTAAGGTCACATAAAAATTCGCCCGAAGCCTGTCGTGTACCAATGAAGGATTTTGAAAGCTATCTATCATGTACTGTTAGTATTACTCGAATATCTAATTCAATCATCGTCGTAAAATGAAAAACTGAAGTTAAATGAAATGAAAATAAATAAATAAAAATTTTGATTTGAATTTTCGTAATTTTCGAAAAATAAATCTAACGACAATTTTGGTTATTTATCTGTCTGATATTTAGTTTAGTTTGTGAACATAAAGAAGACATTTGAAGATAAATGCGATCAAAGTGGGGATAGAAAATTCCGATCTTGAATCTTTAAATGTTCACAAAACATCCGTAGCGTTCAACACTTGAGTGGGGTGTTGTCGGAAATAATAAGGCGTTGGCTGCTTAATTTAGACTCATTTAAAATACGAAAAATTGTTAAACTTCCATTTTAATAATCAATAAATAGGATATACAATTTCGTATGGACACTTAATTAGTTCATCTTTCATTATAATCAGGAATTTGAAGTAATAATTATTAACTAGAGAATTTTTAAAGGGTCCTTTTCATATTGAACACCGAATAAATAGTCAACGCTTTATAAAAATAGGACTGGAAAATAAAGCAATACTAATAAATATTCCCAAAGTGTACTAAAATGTAGATGTAAAACATATACAAAAAAAAAACATAGTCATAGGATTTAGTTTTTTTTTATTAATTTGTTTGTATGTTATATAGCACGAAACAGTTTTTAAAAAGTTGCTCAAAAATTAATTTAATTGTTTTGCTGGATAGTGAGGTTGTATGTGATGCGTTGCTTAGATAGATTAGTTGAAGAAATGTAAAGTATATTCACTTTCAACTTGTACTTGATTTGACTTTACAATGAATTATTATTATTAAGGTTTTAATGTATCAAAGAATACCGCAAAAATATAGACAAAAATAACAATTCATCAAAGTAGCACAAATGATGGACACAAAGGAATGTGAAAAGATGTGAAGTTATCACTTTTATTAATATTGAAAGAACAGTGGTAATCCCTTCGTCTGAGTAACTGTCATGTCAGTGAGCGTGACATTTAAATGTCAAAATATTAAATTCTGTCATTTTTACTTAAAGATGCTACACGTGTGTTAAAGTGTACTTTAGCCATATTTTTGTGGTATCATTTATTTCAAACGAATGTATTGACAGTAAATAAATAGGCAAAAAAGCTATACACTAATGTGTACAAAATATGACGATAACATGACAAATTTAGGCCGTAATTATTAAAGAATAAGAGTCATACTAATATGGCAAATTATCATTAATAAGTCGATTTAATTCAATACTGGCACAAGTTGAAGGGTGAAGAATTTGAGAAATGCATATCGTATTTGAGCGGATGGGTGTGCGCACAAAAATTACTTCTTGAAGTGAAATCAAGTTTGATGGTAAATGTGGATTTTATTTAATTGCTTGCGCTTGAGAGAGAAAAACGTGAAAATTAAGGAACACAATGCCAAAATGGAATATTGTTGGTAAATTAGTGGAAATTAGAGCCAGACCACGGACTACAAACAAACGGCTACAAGTTCAAATGGCATAAACAGTTGTCTTTTGTGCGAGTTTTTTAACGTTATCGATAATGTAAAAGTTAACTCAAATTTGTATGCAGTTGGAACAGCGCCCCTAGCGGCAAATGTAGGCAAAGGTTCCAACTCCATACAAATTTGAGTTAACTTTTACGCTATCGAGAACGTTAAAAACTCGCATTAATCACACAGATGCACAATGTTTGGCATTCATATTTTATCTGTGTAACAGCCACAATTTTTTTCCCGCTAAATTTTGAATTGTGTCATTATTTAATTAAACGATATAGATATTCTAGATGTAACATAAATATTATAGCGATTATAGAGACTGTAGATTATATTATTATATGAATGTTAGTTGTTCAATAAAAATATGGCGCTTACTTTCAATATTTAAATGTGATTTATATTATACAAATTAATGGAATTAATAAATGTATGTTGTCTAAAAATGATGTTCATCGCTATTTTGTTATTGTTCGTTTAATAAATGTTGTCGTTTATATGTAAAGCCATTCACGGATGCTGAATTTAAATGACATTTTGGCATTTTTAAACACACGCGAAAAAAAATTTAATTTTTTTTTTAATCCGCTGTAGCTATCGGGCTATTCGTCGAATTGTCATTTAAAATCTGCATTAATTAAGTAAATTAAATTTTATTTTAAACTTAAGTTTTTGTTGTTGTTGTAGTCGTCGTTTAAGAATAATAGTGATGTCCAAATCACTTTGTCGTTACCGCAAATGTTGGATGAATCTAAATCGCTGTAAATACCTACTTAGTATGTGTTAGGTTAGGTGTTGACGCTAGAGCGGGATTAATGTGAAAAAGTCTATTGTGGTGTTTTAAAGCAGCCAATGCATATTCATAGACAATTTTTACAATTTAAACATAATTTCATTGATTGTAAAACGTAATGGTTTTATTATGTGCCTTGCCCTGAAATATGCTTTTAAAATGTGCCACACAAAATCCCAAAGTAGAATATTTTATGACTTATTTAGAAATAAGACGCATAAAAACTGAAGTGCCTATTTTAAACAAACAAACAAATGAAAAGTCAATAAATATTTATGCTTTCGATGGAACTTTACGTGGTATTACCAAGCTATCCCGCTCTAAGCTGTATGAGCTAGGTAAGTCAGTAATTCAAGTCACCGATGACGATCTGACATAGATTAATCGAAGAATCGATTTATTTTTAAAAATATATATTTGTTTTGACAAGTGCACAAATATAAAATAGTTTAAACAATTTAATTTATAATGAAGATTTTGAAAATCGATTCTTTAGATTGAAGTCGAAATAATTAATCGAAAGATCGATCTTCTCTGGAAAGAAGCGTCATCTCTAATCAAGTTTCTACGAAAAACATTTTCTGTTCGACCTGGAATAGCAAAAAAGTCAGCGCATACAGCCAAATTGACAGTTGTTATGACATTGACCAATGAAACATAGAATAAAATCTGAATTACTGATTTTTTAAGCGGTAACTGGCGTTTATAACCACTAAACCCACCCAGTGCAGTTGTGGTTAAAAAAATATTTTCTAGAAATACTTAACGTCACGAATGGATGTAACTTTATGTCTAGTTGGCACAAAATAAATTACTTAGAAAAATGTAAATAATGAATTGTTGAAACCGTTAAAGTTGGAAGTTCAAATAAGAAATTTATTTTTCTTTTGACATTTAAAAACGTGTTTGTTAAAGTCATTCGAATAAGTACTAGACTCGAAAGGAGTCTACAAGCGTTCTCGAATAACCGCTTATTAGGTAGCGAAGGCTAAACGCAAATAAAAAATTGAGAATCAAAGAAACGCTCATACGAAAATGCCACTAGGGAACCGTCCACTTCGCTTGAAAATCTCGAAATTGAGCGATAAAAATATGATCTCAATTTTCTATGGTTCATAGCCGACAATGTTAACAACAACCCGCCTATATGACATAGCAATAATAGAATAGAAGTTATAACTTATAAGGCTTAATATTTGTAAAGCTATAAAACTCATGTCTTACCATAGTACTTTACATATTTATTATACCCTAAATATTTCTATATGAAATAAGTAAATTGCTAGCTAGTGTCGTAATTGTTAATTATGATGGTTTTATTAGTGAAAGTGTAAATAAAAAAAAAAGGAACTATACCAAAAATACATGTAAAGAACAGATTTGAATAAAATAATAAAATATTAGCTTTGCTTTTTGAAAAAAAAGAATACGCACAAGTATCCAATACTTATTAGAGGCTCGACTTGAAGCTGTCAAATACGATCTGTCAAATACGGTTCATAATTTTCCGTCTCACCTGTGCAGTTTAAGAAACATAGGCACGAGCGACGCGGAAGATTTTGTTCTTTCAACATTACTGGTTTTCTCTTAAAATTTAAATAATACTATAAATATTTATGGTACTCTTAACATATCTGTAGCAGGCTGTATAGAGCACGAACGTAAATACTAGTAGTAGGTTGAGAAAAGAAACAAAAAACAAAGTGTGTAGTTCACACGCAGAGAAGAATTTTAAATATCTCATTCATTCACTATGCTAAGTCCTTAAAGAATATATGTATGAATAATATACCTTATATGTTTCTTTTTTAATGTCGCTTTTCATATGTTAGTTCCGTTTGACTGGGTTACATTATTGATATGCCTCTGAAACTGTAAAACTGCAACTTTTAGATATTTAAAAAAATGCATCTTGGAAAGCATCAGAATTAAATATGCTTTCGCATTAAATTTCTCAGTCTGCATATTAATAGGTACGTTGATTTAATGAACGAATGAAGTCATATTCTGTGATAAGATATCATATGCTTTTGACGTATAAACATAGTATATAATTAAGCTTATATTGGAATATCTATTAGAGTGTTGATTTTGTGGTTACATAAAGATTCCAACACGGTAATCGATTTCAGAATAAATAGGGGTGTTTTGAGATAGATAAATTAATTTAATTTCTTCATCAAATAAATGGTTTTCATTGCTATTTTAGGCGCGTTGTATTGATTTTATAATTGAAATCGGAAATAATTTGCCGCATAAACAAAAACTACAATATCCATTTATTATTACTCAAGGTGTTCAGATGTAAATAATTAGTAATAGATCCTGCTTGACAATAAAACTGAAAATAGCAACAGATTAACTTTCCCAAAGATTTACCAATTATTACGCAATACTAATCATATTTGGAAGTGAATAAAAACAATAAATTATTCTCATGACATTTTTAAGAGCGCGCCAAATATTAAAAAAATGGCGCGCTTTCTATTTAGATAAAATAAATATGGCCTCGTAAGGTTATCTGTAAATACTTATGTACTGTATGCTTGGATTTGATACTTATCTGTAGCGCATAGCGATTGTTAGTTAATACTATTTTAAAAGATTATTTTTTAAAAGCTCATTCTGTAATATTACCTGTGCGACCAAGCTTGGCTCAATCGGTTCGTAGAAATATTTTCCTTTCCCAGTAATTTCGTTACATCAGTCAAATTAATTAACATTCAATTTAAAAAATAAGTTTAAATAGTAAATAACGTTGTTTTGTAATGCTATCTCGTAAAGGTTTTTCTTTGAAATACCATTTGGAACAATACAAGTATCTCTGAGATTTAAAAGATGGCGGAAAACAATCATGTTTTTATGTAAATTTTGTAAACAAGCTTAAAGACAAAAAACCATTTAAATTTAAAACTTGATCCAAATCGTTAGAATCCTTTCCGAAATACATGAAATATTTATTTGTATGCAAGAATGTCTAGTTTAGAAGTTAAACATAATATTGTATAGGTTATTTCACATTAACTTTTATCTAAATTTAAACATACGTTATTCTGATTTAGGTCTGAAACTCATTTGATTTGATTTCTTAAATTATATTAATGATGCCTTGACCCCGTTAACAAATCTCTTTAAACTGTCAATTATTTATGAAACTTAAGCATTTTATATAATTTATTTTAGATATATTGTTAAATTTCAATACAACCTAAACTATTCACGATATCGTTGTAATATAACGAAGCTTAATTTCACGATAGTATTTTCTTTTTCTTTTTTTTTCTACCTATGCTAATAAATAGCCTTGAGAGGCTATTTCAGCTTCGCCCTAACATGTAGGTGAGCTCACGGGGCTCAAGCCGGAGTGTAGCTAACACTGGCCTTACCAAGAACAGTGCTTCGCAGAATCTACCACCGGATCGGAAACGAACGATAAATGAAATGCTAAGATAACATTTAAAAAAAAACAAATTTTGAAAACAGTTCAAAAGACATAAGTCGCTTTGACTTTGGTATTTTCTTTGGCCTGTCGAGTTTATTATCGCGTTAATTACTTTAAATGTATTATTATCAATGTTTCGAATTATTTACAGTTTTCGTGTTCGCAAACAAGCTGGTCGTAAAGGTCTTACTTATTTTCTTATATTTATTCTTGTTTCAAAAAATCAAAATTATTATATTTCATCTAACAATTTGAATTTTATCTTTCTTAAAATTCGTAACTCTTATTTAAATATACATAAGGTTCCTTTTAACTAACTATATGATTATTACATCACACATAAAGATACATCAGACATTTTTTATTTATTTAGTAAACCCATCAAACTATTTTTGTTCATTTAAAAATATTACATCCAAAATATACTCTCTGTAAACTAAATTCCAAATAAAATTAGTAGAATTACTTAATAATGAGGTTTCAAAGAATTGAATCAGACTACTACTATAAATAAATTAAAAATTACTACATACTATAAGCTGTTTATTATGACGTTGATGCTGTTTCTCTTTCGAATTTGAGGCGATAGAAAGAGACATCCTTATTTTGCAAAGTCAAGCAAAGAACACAATTTAAAAGCTTCATCATGAATCTATGAAGTGTTTATTGAAGTATTGTGGGATTTATTTTCTAAAATGTAGTAAAATTTATATCTTATTAAGGCTATCTTCTCTAGTTTAAGTGGAGTTCGTAATTTTCATCCTTCCATTAAGAGCGTATTTTGTAAGTAAAATTAAATGAAACAGTATGTTTATTTTGAGTAATTACTTCGTTATTTGGTAATTAGTATTTTTTAGTAAATAGTAATTAGTTTGTTATTCATACGGTGTGCTCAGTATGTATTGAACGTTGTAGAAAATCTAAACGTATGTGCTTTTGTTTCATAAAAATAAAAAATCACATTGAAAGGGGAATTTGAGGATTAAAGCAAAATGTTTTCAGAAAAAAAAACTCAACAAAATATGCAGAAGATTAATCTTGAAATTAAATTGTTTGATTTGAAAAAAAATCTCAATACGTACATTAGTCAATAATATATACCTCTAATAATAGCTTGGTATGTAATTATCAACTTTTTTGAATCAGTGTCAACAGTATGAATGAAAACTCGAAGTTTTAAAGTTAACATCATTGTCCAAGTAATAGTTTCACACTATAAGCATATTTAATTTATCAACCATAAAGAAACAAAATTAGAATAATAATCATTGCGTCAAAATTGATAGTAATGACAGTTATGTAACAATTTTTTTATTTCCGTTTAATTATATAAAAGGATTTTTTTTCAGATTTCAATTACTAGACATATGTAGTTCCGTCATGAATTGCATTTGTCCGATGCCGGATAAAAAGGATCCCATTTAGTTCGTATTAAATTATCATGCCACTTTATCTTATTATATTACGTAAAATTATCGATTTCACGCCATCCCGCCTTTTTTACGCAGAGTACTGTTTTATACTCTGTGCAAAAACATGGAAAATACCAAGTCACAATCATATATGTAGTTGACTTGATATTATAGTCTTTCTAGAAATTACGGTTGCAATAATAGTCTTCAAAACGATTACTAGTGTAAGTTTAGGCTTAACAAGCTACGAAAATATTCAAGATATCAATTTAATATAATAACCAAATAGATTATGATTGTTATTAGAACGATGTTTTATACAAAGATAAAAATGTTGTTTACCGTTTACGAAATACGGAATGAACACCATTGTTTTTAATATAGATTGTAAATACTATTAAAATTTTAAAACTTTCTCTCTCTCTCTCTCTCTTTCTCTCTTACTACATATTTCTCTTTCTGTAATTCGAATTGTTAAGTAAATCATTTTGCGAGGGAAATGATGAAATGAAGGTTTTATTTCTTGCACAGAGTTTTACCTGCTTCTACTCTGGAACCAGAACTGCCAACGAACTTTGTTAAATAGAGGAAATCGCAAAAATATTGTAATTTGATTTACAAAGCATGTACCTATTTAAATAATACGTAGTAAAACTTAGAAAACGTCGTCATCTCGTAATGATTCAATGCGAGATGAGCTCCGAAGTTCAATTTCACGAAAAACAAAAGAAGATTCGTTAGAAAATGTTTTTCAGACAGTATTATATACATACATATAATATGTATGTGATACATATACCTGGATAGTTTAAAGTGAGCTAAGTTAATTAATAAAACTATATTTTGCTGTTATAAAAAAGTTTAAATGTTTATGTGAAATTGTTGCAAGTGTATTCAAAGCTTTTAAAAATTGTTGAAGATTTTATTGAAAATGAATTATAATGTGATAGTTTTTAAACTAGTTAAAACGCATGTAATTAATTATAGAGTTGATTTTTATTTTTCATTTACATGATTGTTAATTTACGTGTTTTTCGAAGTGAATTTGGAGCATGGTGTTATCGAACCTCGTTCGGAGACGATATTATGAAATATTACAATAAAAAAATAGACAGTGAAAAATTTTGTTTTATTTTAATTCGCGTCTCTCTTTATTTTTCGCGAGATCGGTTGTTTTGTTAATGTTGCCGCATCCTGAGACAATTTATTTTTAGTCTGCCTACCTACTCTAGTTATACTACACTCGCAGGGTTATACTACATTCATCAAGCGAGTAGGCGAACTTACGGGGCTCACCCTGACGAGTTTGCTATCACTGGCCTTAGCAAGAGTAGTGCTTCGCAGAATCTACCACCGGATCGGAAACGCGACCCACTGAGAAGATCCGGCGAGAAAATCAGTGGGCTGTGTCTGAGGGTTAATTTGCTCGCCGAGCCCTTTATCGCATTCGAAGGGTTCGACGAAAACCATTTCATTATTCCCAAAACAACCCACCATAACTGAAAGTTGACTCAACGAGAGTAAAAATGGAGTCACAAGAAGGTAATACTGAAAAAAAATAGAAAAAATAAAATCGGATCACATTGAAACAAACAAACATTCACATTTATTTCAAGTTAATTAGATGTAGGATTTAAATCAAAACATTTTGTGTTTAATTTTATGCAGTTACTTTAATTATTGCGATATCCTTTAAACAAAATTGTACAGACAATTGAAAATGCATTACCTTACCAGTGTGTGTATCGTTAAATATACATAGATACAATATAGCGTTGTGGTTTATATCAAGACACACTCTGTTCATACATAAAATATCCTTATAGGATAACATTGCAAACTTTTACAAATGTAGTAACCACGCCGTTGAACAGAAGAAAACAAAATTACGTAGATAGTAAGAATTGTATCCATTAAAACCTTTCAAAGAACAACAAACATAGTACATGAACTAAGTCCCTTAATATAATATAACAATAACATTCTTAATAAAATAATTGTTCACTACATAATATTTCCTAATCACATATACGACTAAGGTAATTTATGATTATAAATATATTTATTTAGAAATCGTTCCAATCCCATTCATTTTCTTGTAAAAGTATATCCAAAAGATACTAAGGCTCTCGTTGACATGTCTAAGACAATTTGGCCAGCCTTCAACATTGGTATTGCCAGTTCAAGATTTTACATATAGACGCTCCTTTTTTTTTCTACCTGTGCTGATAGTCTTGAGAGACTATTTCAGCTTCACAAATGTTGGTGAGCTCACGGGGCTCAAACCGGAACACTGGCCCTAGCAAGAGCAATGCTTCGCAGAATCGACCACCGGGAGACGCTCCAATGTATGATGTGGGTAGTTACATCAAAGCTTGACGCAGCCGAGCGCGACAAAACAAAAGAAACGCCAGTATGGCCGCGACCGCCGCGCCGGCGAGTAGCGTTGTTTCGTCTCTGCGCGCCCCGCCGGCACGTTCAACTACGTGACTCTGGAAATAAATGAAAATTAAATGTTTATGCTGTTTAAATATATTAATATACACGATCCAATAAAGATTACACATTTATATACTACATTGCTAGACCGCGTTAGAAATTATCCAAATTCGTACTGTGACGCTTTACAGGCGAGACGTTGACAAAGTTAAAACTAAAATGACTAATGTCTTAAGAAACACCAATAAGTCGAGTTGACGATTTCTCTACGGCTTTGCCTGAATTGCCAGTCAATAATAACTAAGTTTTTTGTTGTACGTTTGTTTTAAATTCATACGGTGAATGGCGCCACCTTAGGATAGTCGAAGTAGTAGACGAAAAGCACCAAAAAAGCCTATTTCTACCACAAACAGTAATGCGTTCCGGTTTGAAGGATGGAGCAGGAGATGTAAGTAGCCACAGCAAAATGTCACAGACGCTGGTGAACACAAGCATGTGACAACCGCTGTTTGGCGTTACAATTTGTACTATCACAAGCAATAGCCAGGTCACGATCGTAGTCCGATTAATACATGTATGTACGTAGTAACCGCACTCACCCAGCCACCATGCCGTATGGCCCAAGGTGTGGCGCATTGGGCCACGTGTTTGGCCGACCATTCCGCGGCTCTACACCAGCCCCCAACTCTGACAGCGCGAGCACAAACCTCGCACAAGAACGCTAACACCACCAAGGCTCTCTGTTCCACGTGAGCACAAGCCTGTAGAACAATAAAATAACTATTAATCTAGCTCTCTCGTGTTTCCTTACACGTTACGGTATATGATTTCACCCTAAATTAGGAATTAAGAATTCGTAGCTCGATTAATCGCCAACTTAATTACCTGGCAAAGTTCTTGCATAATATCCTCAAATTCCACTTCGTCTAAGCTCAGTAGAGGGATGTGCTCCGCCCTTTCGGCCAATCTTGCCCTGGCTTTCGTTTCCCTAAATCTCCTGGCCGCCCGCTCTAACGACCTCCAGTCTCGCCAATACAACCACCAGCCCCTGTTTGACAAAGCTTTGGGATATTATGGTGTTATCCTTGCTTAATAATGAAACGCTGCTGTACAAATATAATTATAAGTGCGGTTAATCTTTTTTCCCAACCTATTCGCTGGTAACTTAGGGGTTATTCCACCTACACACGGATGAGTTCACGGGCTCGACCCGAGAGAATTTGCTAACACTAGCCTTAGCAATAGCAGTAATTCCTTGAATATACTACCGGGTCAGAATCGCAAACCGCTGAGAAAATCCGGCAAGAAATTCAGTGGGCTATGTCAGGCTAGTTCGCTCGTCGAACTCTTCGTCATACCATCACGGGTAGACAGAATACTGTGAGTAGGATGCTAGGAGCAGACAAACTCGTCTACCCTCTTTCTAGTATTTTTTTTTGTTTTTCTATTTTTTTATTGCTTAGATATGTGGACGAGCTCACAGCCGACTTGGTGTTAAGGGGTTACTGGAGCCTATAGACATCTACAACGTAAATGCCGCCACCCACGTTGAAATTTAAGTTCTATGGTTTCAGTATAGTTACA